CCCCTGCCCAGTTTCATCTGTGCTCTCTCTTGTTCTCTTTCACTCTCCTCTTTCTGGTTTAATTAAGGGGGAAATTAGTCCATGAGTGACGTGTCAGAGAGCAAGGTCTAGTCACAAAGAGATCTGATAATGCAACTACTAATCTTCTCCCACTGAAGGTGCAAAAACAGCAGCAGCAAAGTCAAATGCTACAGATGAAAATAAAAAAATACTTCAAAGGCTTCAAAGATTCACAGAGCTTTTTTTAAAGCTTCACTTTAATCTCAACATTACAAAAAAAGGCAGCTGAGAGGGAAAGAAATCTACCAGATCTGCTTTGTTTCAAGTTAGGTTAAATTTCATGACAAGCAACTGTCTTTAAACTGTCTGTGATGTTCACTATAAATATATTTTAAGAGAAAATAACTCAAGATTTGTTGGGAGCTACCTGTGTATTTAGTTATATTCAGCATTACTCTGGTTGACAATCACAGATTCAGTTATTAATAATAATATTACTGATGTTTATTTTACTCAAATGTACCATTAAATCATCACAAAAAATTATTTATTGTACTAATATTTTCTCACTCCACAACTAATAGCATATTTACTGAGATGATGAGAAAACTATGGCTATTAAAAGGGTATATCATATAAATCTAAAGTTATATATAGTTAACTGTGCATTAAACATTCAAAATTTCTCATTAATCTTGATCTCGTTAATTTGCATGAAATATGCATGGTGGCATAAACTAACATAAAATTTGATTTGAATTAATTATGAACACTAAAAATATGCAATCTGAGTCTGATTACCTTATGATGTGTCACACTAGACTTCTAGACTGCCCTTTATTGCCTGAGCACCTACTTAAACTTTTGCAAGTCATTTTTCCAGTTTTTAGGTGTCCTTGCTGTAGCAGGTTTTGCAGTTTTTTTCCATGTTTTTTGTTCTCCAGAGGGGTTTTCCTAATAAGCGTATTGAGCATTGTCGCATGGCTTTCTGACACAAGTCAGTTCAACCTCATGCTGAGGGTAAGTAAAATAGTTTTTACATCATTGCATGTTAATCTCTGAACTGAGCAAAATAAGGATGAGTGTTAAAATTCCTTTCCTGATTGGCTTACAAGATCTGCCATTTGACCAATGACTGAGAGCATTCTCATTCTCTGTGTCTGGTGCTTGCAGTGCTGACATGCAGTCAAATGTGCAATATTTGTCTGCTTAACATATTTAGCATTTCTTTCATTAACATTTTTCTTCTAATTAAGTGAATAAATAAACCTAAAATAAACTATGCTAAATTCAACAAAAATAAAAAACTCACTCTCTACTCTATGTGAGAGAAAATACCACACATTCAGAAGGTATAATATATTCCCACTGTATATGCCCAAACATGTTAATTCAGAATCAATTGTTTTACTTTCATTTTTGCTTTTCCCAACAGACAAAAAAGGTCTGTGATACTCAGACCAAATTAGATTGGACGAGTTTTGTTATTCTTGTCAACTCAACATTCACATGCTGCTGCCAAACAATGTTTCACGGCAGGTGCTAAATTTTATTTGGGCCTCTCCTCCCCGACAGATTTCTATTAAACGTCGCTGACGTCAAAGCGGACGCCATCTTTGTCGAGGGCAGAGCAGCTCTCCATTGAGGAAGAACGCACGCACATTGCCGTTGCAGCAGCTCAGTCCCTACAGAAAGGGGTTGATGGTGCTTTGCTGTTGAAATTCGCAGACAGACACTTCATTACTGACGGTCGTCCACCGACTACGGGATCAGGTAAGCTTTATTTAAAGAAGGAGATGAGGAAAAGGATTTGATGCGATTGATTTTTCGTCTTTCTTTTAGATTTGTCTGGCCAAAAAGTGGTTGACTTGAAGTCGCAGCGCAGGCAACAGTGGATTTTTTTTTTAATTAAAGGAAATCCGTAACCTTTCATTTTGCGTATCTTTTTTAATTCAAGCTTGATACACTGTTCGGAGGATGTCAGATTTTAGGGACAATCATGTGTGGTTCATGCGGCACGATGTGGGCGGTTTCTGCGTTTCAGCACCCTGGACAGGGACTGCGTTTGCTCCACTGCGTTTCTGTCCTGAATTCACATCCAGCCCCTGCAGCTGAATTACCATTATATGTCTGGCAAAGTTTTGCGCAGAGGCGCCATCTAAATAATGATTGATTTGACCAGATGTTTAAGAGACGCAGATAGGTTTTATAAAAGACTCTGTTGAAGTTACAGCATCAGGCCATTAGTCACTGAAATGACAGTGAAACTAACGCCTGGATGTTTAATTTTGCAGCAGCATTTAAAAACCAGATCGGCTCTTACTGCTTTGCCTGCCAGATTCATTTTTCGTCGCTGAATATAAATAAAGTTATGATGGCATCGGGTGAGGATTTAACGAAAGTGATCAGCGATTGATAGTGGGGGAGGCCAATATGGCAAACTGCGACAGAGTGGTCGAGAATTAATGTGCGTGTTGCAGAGAAAGCAGTGTGGGGAGAGTCAGATGGGATGATGCAGTGATCAAACTTATTTAATGAAACCGATATATTCGGTGTCTGTAGACGTTTATTTGGACCAAATCATCTCAACCTTGCCCGTATGTATGTGATGAGGCAGCGGTAATTATCAGTGCGTGTCTTCCTGGTGGTAGACGATGGGCGGGGGCTTGAGCAAAGACGAGCGGGGGCGGATGCTGGAGATACCCTCACTCACAATGAATCTTTGGGCTCACGTATGACTAGGGATATAAATCATAATTGCACGGTTCCATGCACGATTCTTTTAATACTTTTGAGGAAGATAAATTTGAAAAAAAAAAAAAAAAAGAGACAGTCTGATGCTAAATAATATGATCATTTCAGACTTTTACGGACTTTTTTGGGGCGGCGTAATGCAATTACAATAAGTAGCCTTAACTATTCAAACAAAAATAAAATGGTAGCATATTTAATTCATTCATTCTTTATTTATAAAATACAACTGATTACAACTGAACTCATAATGTGAAGCTACACGTTGTCGTACGAACAACCTGTCAGTAACTACACTAATTTAAGTCTCACGAGACTTAACAACATAACACAAAACGGTTCTTTTGATTAATTGCCAGTCATTCATGACGAAAGAAATAACTTCCTGTTCAGAAACATGTCCGACTGATTTAGAATTTGAGTCACATATAACTGACTCATGAGAGTCAGACGTGGTATGGTGTTGAATCAATAAAAAGAGCCGACTCACATGAATCATTCGATCGGGAACCGATCTACACTTGTACGTTTTTGAATTGCTAAAAAGAACCGGCTCACAAAGTCATTCGTAACCGCTCTACATTCAGTAGCAGTGCCAGAGCATTTTCGTGTTATAACCACATTGGCTTGTGAGAACCGTTAACGTACCGAATGTGACCAAAATAAAAATCGAACTTTTCTCCGTTCCAAACCCTACGTGTGATGCAGATTTAACGATGCTCCCAAACCCACAGCCATCTTCGTCTTATGACACATCCTCACGTGTTAAACACATTCTGGCTCACGGAATGTACTGATTACACAATAGTATTATCGCGAGCGTAAAATCCCTCCATTAACCGGATGTCCGTAACAACCCGAAATATCATCTAGCTAATCATCCAGTCAAATAGTTCAGTGTGACTTGGGCATGTCAGGATACTGCAGAAGAGCTCTTTTTTTCTGTCACGTGCCTTCATCTTGCACCTGCAAATGCTCTAAAGCCACGGTATTGTTACTCATCACGACTGTTTTTGGTCAATCCTTCTCTTAGTAAATGCGCACGCTGTTACTGACGCATTTATGAGCAACAGAAAATGATACTTTACTACAATGAGTGGAGTATTGGGTTTCGCTTGTTCTGGACTGTATTCGTCTTGCGGAGGTTGTGAGTTACCGGTTGGCACGCTTCTGTTGTTGAATCTGATGGTTTAATGCGGCTTATCAAGACTTGACTGCAGAGCGCAGGGCTGCAGGGATGTACCCCGAAAAAGTGGTGACTCGCGCGATACCACAGACCGCGATTCATGATTCTTGAACCTTGATTTATCGATGCCCATTGCTACTTAACACATAAATATACATAAGATCTGTACATTCAATATAATACAACATTGAATGTTAATACCATTTAAACTGTTATCCACAAACATAAACAAAAAGATACAGATAGCATATACTTATGGGTTGTTACATGGGATGTTTATGCGAAGTGATTGTGAAAAAAGTCCAAATTATAGGTTCAGGTTTTATTACATGTATTTGTTGAAATGCACATGTTCACAGATTCCAGTTTTAATAAATGGCTGAGCTCAGTCAGGAGTGATTCACTTAAATAAATCCTATAAACCAATTAATATGTCATCTGGCAATTGTTTCATCAAATCTTGACAATGACAAAGACAGTGAAGTGCTTTATTATGGTTGCTCCAGTGTCTTAATTAATCACTGTATCAATGAAATGTTGTGATAGATATAATGAAAATGAGAAAATTAGAAAACCAAAGCTTTACCAGTAACCTATTACGGGAAATTGCAATGTTATTGTCAATTACATGTATAACTATCACCCTACAGTCCTTGATTTCATATTCCTAATTACATATCACCCTTTATCACAAAATTGTTTTAGATGAAAGCACCAGCTGGGTAAAAAATGAGAACTGATTTGTAATTCCCCAAATTAAAAAGAGCAGCCGGTCTTGGGGGGCCACTGAACAGAATCTAGCAAACAATAACATGGGCTGAAGTACAAAATGGCTACTGGATATCTCTGTGACAGTCCTGCACAAGTGCACTTGGTTGAACACTCACAGATTGAAAATATGGACAAATGCGTCACGAGAGTATAAAAGACCGAAGACAGCTATG